TAAGTGTTTGTAATCAAGAATAGTCAGTTTGAATTGTTCTAAATTCTTTTCAGGGAATGCAATTAAATCAGATATTTATTTGAGTTGGCTTTTAAACTGTGTTTTTTCTTGAATTTCATTAACATTCATCAGTGTTTCAAAAAAGTTTTGGATCAAGGGATAATATATACATTTGAAGAATGGATAACGGGATACTAGAATAACTGAACACGTAGTGTACTATTCTATCTTTTTTAAAGTCATCATGGGATTTAAAGCCATGTCTTCAGTATCGACCTATTCATTGAACTTTCTACATTCATCATATGGTAAATCTTAGAATGTATGTGGTATCACTGTGATATTGAATTCAATTTCCGGAAAAAGTAACATCACCACGATGAAGTAATTCAGTGTTAGTCGTTTAAGAGAACGGTGGTTTAGATGCATGTAGTTTCGAAGAGTTTTTTTACTAAGGTTTCGGATATTCACGTTTCTCAATAAGGCTATTCCAAAAGTTAGTTTTCGTATTTAGTATTGATAGCTTGATAAAGTGACGCAGAAACGGATTGAATTCCTTAAATACCACAGGATACTTGATAAGTTTAAAAAAGTTTTTTTTCCGAAAACAGCATATATTAAAGCTATGTAATCGTATTCTTAAGTATTTTTTTCGCTCAAACTTCATTATTATTTTTTTTTGCTGCAATTCAAGTCCGAATCAATTCGTCTCTCATGATATGGGCACACGGAACAAATTTATTTATTATAATCATTAACGAACCATTCTTTTTGATATGCAACCAGTCAGTAAATAAAGATAGAATATAATGATAAAGGAGTGAATAATGTCTGTAAGCATCAGTGTGAGAGTTGTGTTGGATCGACTTTCATTTGAAACTGACATATCAGTCTATAGGAACTGAAGCTTGTAAATCCCACGAGCGGGATCGTGGATGCACACTGCTGAGGGGTCCTATGCTAGGACGAAACGGCCTTCCAGCTCTTCCAGGTTTTAAATGGTGGTCAAGCTTTAATTGACTCACGAACTTAACTATTAAAATCACCATAATTTTCACAAAACTCTTGATAAAAATCAATAGAAACATACAGTAATCACTAATTTAAAGTTAGTTTTTTAAAGGTACTCAAATATTTATTTAAAAACAGATATTTAGCTACATATTGTAGACTGCTATACCGAGAACTTATATTTATGATCAAGGATGTGGTTTGAATGTCAACTGTCAAAGATCCCTAGTCAGCTAGTGTATCATTCTGTTTTACATCATTCTTACATTTGTGATAACACTAAACTAAAACGTAATCTAGTCATTTCTTAAATTTTCATGACTACATATTGTGAATAGCTTGAATATCTGAACTAATCGAAAAGTTAATAAATGTCAAACGCCCTAGAGCTGTATTATACTATTTAATGAACTGAACTAATTTAATGTTTCAAAGAACATTACAAGAAAATAACGATGATCTTATCAATTTCCTTTGTCATTATTGATTTTCTACATCTCCCTATCCACAAGATATTTTGTTCATAGTCTATAATAACATTCTAACGTGAAAAAAGTGATTACATAATTGATAGGGTGGATTGATTATCTTAGAGATCAACATCGGGTAGTGAGAACATTTCAGAGACTATTTATGTCCTTTTGAGTAGTGTAGACGATTTACTGACGCATAGTTATCCAACGAAAATAACAATTGAATTGACAGTTACTCAGGAATCAGTGAAGTTATCTTATTTGATTCGTAAAACAAAATGGTCAGTTTTAACATCACTGACTGTGATACGAAGGGATTGAGGTCATAGTACCAGGCAGTTCACGATTTTCTTTAGGATTATTGACATGTTCATTATCGAATAATGACTTGCACGCAATCAATGTTCAAGTAGTCGTATCAGTTAATTGTAATCAAATGAAATTATCACTAAACCAACAAATGCTAATGTTTTATATCGTAACTTTTTAATACTAATACCATTTGTCATCGGATTTGTTTGTGTTCAATTTTAATTATTAACAAACTCTTTTCCAGATCTTCTGCAATGTCTTCACTTCTATTACTATTTGCTCTATTCGAGGGCATGTGTGGTTTTGTTTTACCGATATGCTCTGCCTTTCGTGTGTCCAGTATATCACAAAAACGATATTACTATGAAGTAAGTTAATTTATAAACAATAAAGTGGTAGTATTTTTTGTTGTTGGATAAATTGAGTTCATGTTTTCATTTGTTTAAAATGAAAGGAAATATCAGAAGGGGTTTTGTGGAGATGATAACATACTGATTCAAGGTTATAACTCTATTCTTATTTACAAATTTATTTATACTGAGTATTCACTTATTTCATATTACATAGTTTTGAATGGTTAATGTTTTGGCAAGTTTATTTTTTGAAATAGTTTTGGAAATACGGTTGAAGTTAAACATTAACAGCCTTGGATGCCGGTCGGCTCACTGGTCTGATGGTTAAGCGCTCAAGCGCGAGACAGATAGGTCCTGAGTTCAAATCCCGCGCGGGGAGAGAGATCGTAGATGCGCACTGCTGAAGAGTCCCATACAAGAACGAAACGGCCGTCCAGTGTTTGCAGGTTTTCCATGGTGGTCTAGGTTCAATTGACTCATGATTTCAACTAGCAAACTTAGTGAAATCTCCACGAACCCCTTTCTCAAAATGTCTATTTATTTATTACAAGTAAATTTCTTATTCAAAAAATAATCTATACTTTTAATTTATTAGGATTATTTCAGTAGTCTACTGCATTATTAACATTAATTCACGAGTTACTTTGATTGTTTTAATAGTTTCCATATACTTATATGAATATCATTGGATATTAGCGTGAAGATCGAACTAAAAAGAGCACTTCCTTACTCAATAGATTATTTTCAATCCCCTACTCCAAAAGTATTTCTGTAAAACATAACATAAACAATAAGTGATAATTTCAATATTTCACTTACGAGTTCTAGATGTTTGATTTGAACTGAGAATTCTTATCGAACTGTCGACATGGTGATTTAAGTATTATCACCAAAATACTGTTTATGCAAAATCAACAAATACAAGTATTTTTCAATGCTATGTGTATCCACCACGTATAGATAACTTACCAGAAGTGATATTCTCTTCATTCAATCCGTTTCCTTTTAAATATTCATAATGAAGTATTCAAAACTTTTTTCATACTATATTATCATCTTTAGCCTTGTAGAAAACTCTTTCTATGGTATGATTACATTCAGTGTAATTGTATTTTAGATGCATAGAATCTATATTATTAGTTTTAAGAGATGGATTCTACAAGGAATGATCAATATTCAGATTTATTAACTTATTATTTAGGAAATGTAAATTGTTTTCTCTTTTGTTGTGGTTGTCATCGTTTTTCAATCTTTGTTATCAATGTTATAGTTCCCAGTTACAAATTGTTTTCTTTTTTAATGAGTGAAGCGATGATTCTAAGAAAATGAATCTCATTTCATGGTATTAGTAAATGTTTAGTTTATAAAATAGACAAGCTTATTCTAACCACCATTGTAAGAGAGTTTTGTTGTCAAGTATTTTCACTGTCAATATCAAATATGTTAGATTAATGTCAAACGGTTTTTTTTTGTTTCTTTGAACATTCTTCTATGTACATTGAATATTGTCATTTGAAAACTCATCAAATTAACACATTCTCTCTCTTTTTTTTTCGTTCCTTTACGTCTTCACATATTCCTGTTTACATCAATCTCATATAAATCCGAATAATATATAAATTCCGTCCAAGTATTTAATGATCAATATCATTTTATAAACATAGAATAAATAGATTGTTGTAGATGTAAACAATTCCATTGATTTCATTAAGTAAAACGATCTAACATGATTGATGAAGCCAATATAATGAAGCTTCAAATGATAGAGTTTTTAACATTGTTACTATGTGTTTATATCAATCGATAATTTTAATAGATTTAATATAATTAAATTGATATGGGAAAATAATTGGTTATATGACAGTTTGATATTTCTCTACCGGTTTGATAGAGACAAATAAAAGTCAATAATAATGCTTATATATATTGTATAATTTATTATTGATCAATAGAATAGATCATTGATTCAAAATAACTAATCAATAAATTGATCAGTCCATTTAAATTAAATATAAAATAATAAATCAATAATTAGAGGTTGTATGTTATTTTTTTCTTTTTATAATCGAATTCACGAGCCGATTTAAGTTAGACCACTATTGAAAACTTGGAATCATTAGACAGCCATCTTGTTCCAGTATGAGACTCCTCCCCGCATGTGGGATTTGAATCAACGACATTTGGTCTTACACGCGAATACCTAACCTCTAGACTTTTGGGACGCGATCGAATGGTGTTAATGTTTAACTAGCTTAGATCGACTCATGAATTCAACTTTTAAAATCTCTGTACTGATAATAATCGTGTGCTCATTAGCGACTAGCTTTAGGATAGATGTCCTTGAGTTCTGGTGAGAAGCTGTGACCAATGGAGTTCAATCTGTGTTGAGTTTGAGGCACTTACCCACCTCAGATAGTAGATGAAAGGTTGTGCAAGATTATGAATCCATTGAAGTTCTAGCGTTCAAGTGCTCAATTTATACGTGGTATAATAGGAAACTAAGCTCTAGATATAACAGACATTAAAACCGTTGGTTGCAGAATTAGTGGTCTAGAGCTTAGGGGTTCGTTGGCTCAAGTCACATGTGAGGGATCGTGGATGCGCACTGCTGAGTAGTCCAACAATAGGATGAAGCGAACGTCCAATGATTCCAGGTTTTCAATGGTGGTCTAACATCAATTGGTTCATAATCTTAGTAATCATAACAATCTCCACTACCCCATCCTGATAAATGAGATAGTTGAAATTCAAATCGATTTTACATTGTAATAAATCCAGGGAACATAATGAAGAATAAAAATCATACTAAATTAATAGATACTCTTGTATAGAATCCGTTCTTAACACCCCTCACTTTCTAGCTGGGATATTTTTTCTACAAGGTTTTTTTAAAGATCACTTGTTCTTCTTCGTAACATTTTCATTCTCTTCAGTTGACTGTGTGGTCGCGACTCAATTTTCTGTCACCTTTTCATTTTGCCAACTGAATCTTCCATTAGTATTCCCAACATCAAAGTCTCCAAACTTTAGATAGCGGCATCAGACTTGGGCTCCCGTTTTTGATTTGATTTATATATCTATATGTGCTCTTCCGTTTGGATTGCATATGTGATTGCTCTTGTTATATTTCTGAAGGTGATGCTCCATTCATTATGAACGCCTCAGTAACCGCTGTACAATTTCTTTTATTCTTCATCCCATTTATACCTATTAGGCGGCTCTTTCCAGTGAGGTGATAAAACGTTTCACCTGATTATTCAATAATAGACGTAAACAGAGTTAAGTTTTTTAAAAAAAATTGTTAGCTCATTTATGTAAAATTTTAACATTAGGTACCATCTTTAACGTTATAGTCATTAGATATTCTGAAGTAATAATTATAAATTATACAATTGACTTTAAGAATGTACTAAACCGATGATTACTAGTTTCTTACAGGAACGCAATTAGTTTACTCATTCGGAAGGCACTGTATCGTAAATCAACTGAAGTTTATAATTCTAACTGTCGGGTCTTTGATTTTCGACTGAGAAAAATGTTGTTAGTGGTGCAATGTGGAAATATTCCATATTATTAAAGTGATTGACACTAGGAACAAAAAGCTACTCAGTATATCACAGTTTTCAGTGATCATTAATTTGTGATTAAAAATAAATAAATGAACCTAAATATCAATCTTTCTGATTGATAACTAATGATAAAAAGAATAACAAGGAAGTAGATTTTTGCTCAAAATATTAACAACACCACAGTTTACTCCTTTTATTAACGTAAAATGAATTTAACTAATGATGATAATGTTATCAGTTTTGCGGCAAAACGATTGTTTTTGTAAATCATTAACCTGGATGATCTATGTCAAATGAATGGGGGTCTACTCTAGTTAGACGGTAATGGTGTGACGAACCAGCTAACTTTGAAGTCACACTTCGCGGTCAGCAGCTAACATCGATTACCTCATCGACGTATCAAAATACTATGCCTGCTTTGAAGACTGTATAACACAAAGGACGTTATTTTTTAAATATATTAATAAGAATGAGTACTGAGCAGATAGTGAGACCACCGCCACATGAGCCAATCCATGGTATACGATCAACTGATGCGCGTTGGTTGGGGTTGACTTTGACAGGGATCGATAATCTGTTCAGTATTCACTGACTTAACAGATGGATGATTTGGCTAAGGCTCAGTGATATTTCACTGGCCCTACATGGTTATAATAATAATGAAATATCGGGGAAATAAGAAGGGAAACTTTTATAAGTACTAGCTTACTTAAGATAATACCTTAAACTTTTGAAAATGGCCAGACTCAATGTTATGAAAGTATGTTAAAATGTGATAATAATCGCTAATCTTTGAATTTCAGTCAATATTCTATCCAAGTGTAATTAAATAAATCTTAAGTGAACTCTATGTCATGTAATGGCCAATTGTATTATTAAAATGGGAGAATTTGACTTTTTTTTGCTTGAGATTATGAACTGATTGATGTTAGATTACCATTGAAAACCTGGAAACACAGGATGGCCGTTTCGTCTTATTGTAGAACTCCTCAGTGACAGTGATCATTCACGATCCCGCAACCCTATACTGATAATTTGATTTTTGACTATTAAAGTTTAAAATAATTAATTCATAAAATGTATTTTTTTGTTTTCTTCAACTGTTTATCTACCATAATCATTATCTACGTGGTTGAATAATCGTGTTTAATGAAAAAAAAAGAATTTTCTAATATTTCAATATTGTTTATCCATTCTGGCATTGGCTTATCTACAATCATTAATATTCTATTATGATCGTAAAGAGAATTTACGTCATAAACAAGAAATTGTATTTATGAATCAAATAAATGAAGCTAGACGAAGATGGCCAAATCATCATAGTTCACCAGAAGAAACTGAAAATAATCTTATAAATAACCATCATACTACTACTAATACTACTAATACTACAACTACTACTACTACTAATAATAATAATAACATAAATAATTATGGAGAAAATCAATGGAATTTACAATTACAAAAAAATGAAGATAAATTACGTTTGGTTACATTTATTCATGATACACATGAATTATCAACCGATAGTCATAGTGATTCGACGCCGATTCATATGGATTCTACAAATATGAAATGTAAGCCAATTTCTTATAATTATATAAATGAAAATTTGTATAAGAAAAAGAGAATTTAGTGAAGAAAATTGTTCTTTCCGATGAAATTATTTACTTAAGTTGTACATTCGTATATATATAGTTATACGGATTAGTTGAAGTCAGACATTAACACCGTTGGATGTTGGCCGGCTAATTGTTAAGCGCTTGAGCGTGAGACTGATAGGTTCTGGGTTCGAATCTCGCGCGGGGGGGGGCAGGATTGTGGATGAGCACTGCTGAGGAGTCCCATACTAGGACGAAACGGAAGTCCAGTGCTTCCAGGTCTTCAATGGTGGTCTAGCTTCAATTGACTCATGATTTCAACCACTGAAAATATGTCTATAGGAGGATAGAAAAGATTGCATCACAAAAATGGATAACCTTTGCTGATTAACTTTGTAAAATTCAAGAATTACCACTATTGAGATGGTGGAGAAGATTTGTAGCTCAGGTGGATGATTTTGGTGGTGTTTTGTTCTCTGAGCTGGATGGTTTGGTCGTGGAGCTTTCATCGTTCTTCTGAACGACATCATCAGCACAAACTTCAGATAGAAGTGAAGTGTTCGAATTTCTCCATATGTGTTTCACAGCTTGTTCTGTGCACCTCGATGTTGATTGGTTCTTGTTGACCTTAAATTTATCATTGTTTACTTCTTTGTTTTGGTTGTGTCTCCCATTGGTTTGATTTTTGTTCCTATGTTTATGCATGATTTTCCTGATTGGTTGATAAATTGGATTGATTTCAATACAGGAAAACTGGAAACTCAAGTATATAGGAAACCGACCCATACAGATCAAATCCTCAATTACAACAGCAACAACCCAAGAGCTCACAGAATCAACTGCGTACACACATTGTTCAAGAGGGCGCGGACACACTGCAACACACTGGCAGCACGAAAAAATGAAGAGAAATACCTGAGGGACATATTTCAAAAGAACGGCTACCCAATCAACTTCATCAAAAAGCACCAACGGCACACAGCATCAGAACCCAAATCAAGCACAAAAATCAACAAAAGGATCACCCTACCGTACATACAAGTAATATCAGAAACCGCAACGAGACTGCTGAAAATCTTCGGGATAGGTGTGGCACACAAACCAACAAAATCATTACAATCAATCCTATGCAAACCAAAAGATGAAATAACAAAGGAAAACATATCAAACATCATCTACAAAATAAATTGTACCAACTGTGACAAACACTACATCGGACAAAGCGGACGCCCCCTCCACCTACGCCTACATGAACATCAATTAGCAGTCAAACGCCATGATATCTCTTCACTTATATCAATACACGTGGATAACTACGGACATTCATTCGATTGGGAAAATGTAGAAATCTTAGACAGAGGAAACTCCAAAAACACCAGAGAATTTTTAGAAGCTTGGCACTCAGGTCAATCAGCAACCAACAAACATATTGAAATCAATCCAATTTATCAACCAATCAGGAAAATCATGCATAAACATAGGAACAAAAATCAAACCAATGGGAGACACAACCAAAACAAAGAAGTAAACAATGATAAATTTAAGGTCAACAAGAACCAATCAACATCGAGGTGCACAGAACAAGCTGTGAAACACATATGGAGAAATTCGAACACTTCACTTCTATCTGAAGTTTGTGCTGATGATGTCGTTCAGAAGAACGATGAAAGCTCCACGACCAAACCATCCAACTCAGAGAACAAAACACCACCAAAATTACCACTATTATTTTCAAATATATAAATTCAAAGGTTTAGTGTCAGAGTATCACAGAAATCACAAAACCTAAATACAGGGTCATAAATAATCAGTCTTTAACATGTTGTGTAATCGCTAATTCTGTTACAAACTTTAAAAATGTTCACAAGTTCCTTTAATTAGAAATTCTATCGATCCTAAGGATTAGTCAATATTTCTCATTTTACTGAGTAAATAGTAAATAACGTGGTCACTTCCAATAATTATTGAATTAATTTACTATAACATATTGACAATAATGTCTAAAAAAACTAGTAGAAAATCTTCTTCATTTATTCAAGAATCTGTCATGAAATCAATGATTTAAGGATGCCATTTTTGTGCTACTTTATTCGTGAATGATTTTGTAATTACTTAGTCAATTAGACGCCTTGGTTTAGTGTTTCCTAGAGCTTCATTGGTCATGCCGTAGACGTTTATCAACCTTGTACATTAAGCAAGAAATATGATGATAATATAGGATTTAAGTCAACAGTTAGCCGTCGAATTCGAACCATAGAATCAAAATATTGTTATTGTTATGTTGAAACCTGTTTTGTAAGTTTATTTGGTTGCCGACCTCACAATCGAATGAATAGTCTGATATTATCACTCATCAACTTATCACTCGCGAAACATAACTAGACTATTTAGTAGATCAACGGAACATTTAATAAAATTTAAAGTCCAGTATATCAGCTGAACTGGCCATGAAAGAAAATGGTTGTTCAAAGACTATCTATCACCTTAAAAAAACAAACTGTTTTTAAAAAGTATACTTGTCTAGAAATGAATAACGGCTAGCAGTGGGATCCAGGACACGCGTTTTATCCTATTTTGAACTCGTCAGCTGTATGTACTTGCATCTCAGAGTTGATATTCATTCCTGGACTCCACCCTAGTGCCGTTCTCTTCAAACACCATTGCGCTATCCACTTAGTTACTTAGTCCTGCTGGCCACTATTCATCTTTGCTTATAATACTTGTGAATTAAGGCAATACGCACAGTATGCATATATGCCAATAAGAGACCGATCGGTTGCAGTCCTAAACATTGATGAGGAAATTCAAGTAAACAATACCAAGTGAAGTATCGTCTTCCAGTTGATATTAAACCATTTAGTTGTTTTATTAATTTTATTATTCAGATTTGGAAGATCGAACACGTTTCATTGATCAATATGATGATAATATTAGTTCAAATGAAGACGAAGAGAATCCATTCGAAGAAAACCACAAATTATCAAACAATAAGGTAAAATATTGTTAGATGATGAAATAAAATAAACAAAATGAATGAATAAAGTTCAGTCTAAGTTCATTGTTGAATGAAATTTTTATC